GGAATGGAACAATTCAATATTCCGGGCCGGAAACAATCAAGCACTATACCTTGCGATTAATAACGAAAAGCGGCGATGTCCACTCTTAAATTCTGGTTAAAATCCTATGATCAATAATTATATGAGTAGGTATTATCGGTATTTGGCAGAAACGCCGATCAAGCTATTGTTCTTGCGCCGATCGTGGACACCGATTTTCCACTGTTTATTTACGTTTCCATAAAGGCGCGGGAAATGCGCGGTGGGGGTGGGGAGGAGGAGAGGGGTAGGGGACGCGGCACGGCAAGGGGGGAGAGCAATAATTACGGCACACTCACCGACATCCGACATATCGTTAGTTAGTTAGTTAGTTTCTTTCGTCCATGGCCTGCCAAACGGCATAGCGGCCAGTGTAGTATCCCCGCCCGGCGCAGCCGGGCAGGGAGAAGCCGGAAGTAGTAGAACGTCGGGTGATGGACGAATCCGGCGGGAGGCGGCGCGCGGCCCGCAAGGGCGGGCGCGGCCGCAATTATGCTGGCGGGAGAAGTCAGCACCCCCCGACCCCCGACGGGGGCCGCTTAGGGCGCGGGCGGGTGCGGGGCGGCCGACGCGGGCCCCGGGGGACCGCCGGGCGGTCCAAAAGGAGCCGCAGCACGGCGGCGAGGTGGTGAAGGAGGGCGTTCTGTGGCCGGGAAGAGCGCCCACCCTTTGGTGGAGGTTGTGGCGGCTTGGGAGCAGCCGGCGGCCGGGCACGGGGGCGTGGCCTCATCGGACAAGCCAACGAGGACGATGGATGAGGGCCGGCGCAAAGGCAGCAGGATGGCGTCGACTTCGCGAGGCACAATCTTGCTGGGTGGTCCCTCCCGCAAACACGACACACAGCTTGAGGTGCCGGGCAGGTCGCGGCCAGATGGTCCACGTCGTACCGTTGACATCGGAAACACTGGCGGGGGGCGTCGTGTCGCCGCCGTCGGCGCCGCGTCCTGGCCTTCTTCATAGAGGCCTCCGGAAGCGGCTGCACGACGGGATCGGGGGGGAGGTCCTCACGGGGAGCAGGCGCTGCACCTGGCAGGGCCTGAGGACAGGTGTCCTGCGCCCACGACACGGCGTCCACCAGGACGCCTACATGCCGGGCGGCTCGGTCCCAGGAGAGGACCTGTTGTCCGGTATCAGCGAAATAAATCCGCACTGGTATGGCCCCTAGAGAGTCTAGGGGAACGCCGCGCTCGACCAACCTCAGGGCAGATGACTCGTCCGCGTCGATGGTGACGTAACCGTCCCGACGGCGGCGGCGCTCGGTGTTGATGCTGAACTCGTGCCGCTGGCCCTCCCTCTGGAGAGCGTGGTGCAGCACGGGTATAGGGATGTCCGCGGCCACATGGAAGGCGTACACATAATCCGGCCGAGGCTGTCGCTCCGGCGGGTTGATGCGCGTCATCCGTGGCGGAATGCATATCAGGTTTCCAAAACGCTTCGAGGGATCTGGAGATGTTACTTGGTACCATACCATACCGGCGACTCGACGGTTGACAGCTTCAAGTTGCGTCGACAAGTCGGCCGTGACGTCGCACGTCACCACAACGTGACAATGTTGACGCCCGTGTTCACCGGGGAGGCGAAGCACCTCGACGCGCCCATGGGCGTCGGGGACAAGCCGACCAATGTCGGCCAGTACTTCTGGGAGGTCTGCCGTGTACGTTTCATTGTGCAACTGTAGCTCATGAAAGTCCAGGTCAACCCCTGTCAACTCTAATAGGCGTTTCCGGCCGCTTGCTACCTCGTCCTCCCCGACCCCCCCTCACCTGGCGCGGCCTCCCGTACTGCCAGTTTTTAGCATAAAAATTTGTCGGGTCGGTTGTCGTGATGGGCTAGTTTCAAACTGCTAGATTAGCACTCCAACATTTGACGCGTGTGTGGAATAACATAATCCATTTGTTAGCGAAGGTCAGAAATGCAGAGATAATAGATAATTGGATGCCATTTCCGGCCCTTTTTGCGTGTAACCGTTGGCGCACTTGAAAGCAGCCGATCTGAGCAGAAACTTATCCCTCGGCTCCGTGCCATCAACATCAACACTTCGGTAGCGCCGTGGTACCGAGCGGGCCCCGGGCCCGGTGGTCGTGGGGTCGACTCCGCCCGCAGCCCGCAAAATATTTTCACTTCCGAATTCGTGCGGGAAATTTCGTTTCGGAGTGCGGGACAAAAGTTGGGAATTTCGCTGTCTAAAAGTTGGCAGTATCGGAAGCCGCGCGGAGATAAGGGACAAAGCTTTAACATTGAGTTGGCGGGGGTTGGTCCAGGTGGTAGATCGCGGTCTCCAGAGACGCGGCCCTAACCTCCTCAACACGTGCCCGCTTAGAGTTCGGCAGCTCCGCGAGGCCTGCCATGACCGTACCGTACGGTGGCTCAAGAGCGAGTCTCCGACATATCGTGGTCGCGCGATTTGATTTTTTCCTGGGGTAGGCAATCCCGCCTCGCTTGTCCGGGATGTGATCCTTTGGGGATGCTTCCCGTCCGTCCCCTGCATCGTTGCTCCAGGCGGCAACGCCAGGGAAGTGCCATGTGACAATAATGAAATGATCAGGATAATAAACTATTATGGGCGATTTGCTATTAATAATAAT